ACTGGTGGGCACAACACGTGCCGCCGCCGCCCCACCAAAACCCTCAACCCTGGTGGCATGCGGCTAATGCGGGCTGGTAGGTTTGCTACCTGTCCACTAGTAGATGACCACTACTTCCCAAGTGTTTTGTCTAATCCGCACAGTTTTTATAGTTTCATATCTCAACATAAAGTTATATCAATTAAAAATAGTTTTCAGTGATTTTAATGTTTAATTATTTAGTTAAACATATCATAAATATTGAGAAAAAACAACAAAATGTAAACTGAATTATTTTAGACAATATTTGTTATACACAATAAGGTTTGAGATAATTGATAAAGTATTGTATTAAATTGTATTGTTTTTTAATTTACCAGTTATACAATATTAGATACAAACCTTAGTTAATGTGTTACACGACTGGCCATATATTGTGAATATTTTGTATGACAAAGCAAAATTGTTTTGTAAAGTATTTGATTTACACACAAAAAATTTTAGAATAATGTTTAGTTCATTACACATTAATTTATATATAAAAGTACAATAATTTCTAAAGCAATGCAATTAATAAAATCGATACACATTTGAGTAAAGATTTTTAAATTTTTTTAAAATAAAAAACATTTTGCGTAAAAGTAGTCACAAAAAAAAATCCAAACAAAAACCAAGACTTTGTTTAAAAGACAAACAAATCACAAGACATGGCCGATGACGGAGACGATCCAAATGACCGGACGTGGCGGCCGGGGATGCGTTTGGACACCACTTTTGGATGGGGTCCGGGACAGAGGGGTAGGGGTGGCCGCGGCGGTAGGGGTGGTGCGCGCGGTCGCGGCGGTAGAGGTGCTAACCGCGGCGGCGGCAGAGGTGGCGGTGAAGCGATTCCCTTCGTTGGTAGAGGTGGTGGTGTCGGAGGTCATGGCGGCCACAATAGAGGTCGTGGCAGAGGTGGCAGAGGTGTTGCGGCCGTTCTCGGAGGCCGAGGTAGAGCTCAAGGGGTGCCGCATGTTGTGCATCGCGGTAGAGGTGGCCACCAGGGCGGTAGAGGGCGAGCGGCGGTAGTCCCACAAGACATAGTTCCAGCCGCGCTTCCGGAGCAACAGCCAGCGGCCGGTGCTGTGGCGATGCCGGGTAACGACGTAGTGATGGGCGAATACTTAGCCCAACTCGTGGCAGAGACAGAGGCTGACGGAGACATCCCGTTCGGCCCAGAAGTGGAACATCAGTTGCTGCACTTTACAGACCAAATGCAACCGTTGCCCGACCACGTGTTCCCGGCGGTGCCCTTCGAGGCGCCAAACCCATGGCTACCGTTCCCGGCGGCGGTTGTCAACCCTCTGGCCAATCCGGCGCAGACACGGATGAACGATCCAGTCGCTCGCCGGCACACCATATGCCTGATGAATAACATTCGCGAATTGTGTGTCGGGCACCTGGATCTGGTCGCCACTGAATGCTTTGGCGCGGCTCTGCTCGACCCGCAGGGCCCGCACTTCCACGACAACCCTTTCGTCCAGCAAATACACAATCTGTGTCACAACAACGCCGGCAACGCTTATGTCCATCAACTGACGGAACAGCTGCTGCAACAACTGCTCGGTTGGCTTGTATTGCACTGGTTTGCACAACACGTGCCGCCGCCGCCCCACCAAAACGCTCAACCCTTCTGGGAAGAGGATGATGCGGACTGGTAGGGCTCGTAGTGTTGGTTGGGCTGGTATGTGCGCTACCTGTCCACTAGTAGGTGGCCTCCCTTTCCCGAGTGTTTTGTCTAATCCGCACAGTTTTCATAGTTTTATATCTCAACACAAAGTTATATCAATTAAAAATGTTTTTCAAACTGATTTTGAGGTTTAATTATTTAGTTAAACATATCGTAAATATAGAGGATAATTGTAAACTGAATTATTTTGGGAAATATTTTTTACACACAATAAGGTTTGAGATAATGTACAAATTATTGTATTGAATTGTATTGTGTTATAACTTATAATTTAACAATTATACAATACTGTATTAGTTACAAATAATATCAAATCAATGTTACACGACATGCCATATGTTTTAAATTATTCAAATTAAATATGATGGTCTTACTTGTTAGATCATAGATTATAATCAATCATATAATAACGGCAACGCATTACATGCCTAACCAAACAATACTGTAATTTTGTGAACATTTTTTATGAAAATTATTTTAGATTAAATTGTTTTAATTTATTCAAGCTAAAATTGAGATAATTTAAATTTTAAATCAAATAATAGTTGCATTACAACACAGATTAGTTTTAAAATAATACAAACAATAAAATCAATTTACATTTTTAGTTCACATTTTTAGAACTTTTAAATCACAGAAAGTGTTTATCACAAGTAATCGCAAAAACAAAATCAAACAAAAGCCGAAACTTTGTCTAAAAGACAACAAATCACAAGACATGGCCGACGACGGAGACGATCCACAAGATCCCGATTGGTATGCGGGTCAGGCCGAAGATCCCAACTCTGTATGGTGTAGAGGTGGCGCCAGAGGCAGAGGTAGGGGCGGCGGTAGAGGTGGCGGTAGAGGTGGCGGTCGGGGTGGAGGTCGGGGAAGAGGTGTTGCGGCAGTTGGACCGCCTGCTATGCCACCCGACCACCAGCTGATGGCTGACTATCTTCCGGTACTTACGCAACAGGCGTTGGCCAACGGAGAGCTTCCGCTGGTCCGGCAGATTAACCACCCATTGTTAGTGCCGATCGTCCAACAGAGGGAACCGATTCCCGAAGCGGTGTTCCTACCGGTACCTGATCCGTGGCCACCGGCGGGCGAACCTCCCTTTGATATCGGACCAAATGTCGGGCTCAACGACAATGATTTCATTGCTCAATGGTTTATGAATGATCCGGAATCGCGCCGAGACATGATATGCTTTATGGGAGAGGTGTACAATATGGCCCGCCAACACTTTCTCGCCCCCGACTGTGTGCCCAACGCCCACGACCAGCCCACTCAACTCGATCAGGTGATGCACGACCAGTGCCACAACCCTATCGGTCGGCTCTACATCCTGGAGTTGCAGAATCAGGTACTCTTGGATTTACTCATACCGTGGCTCAGATTTCACTGGCGCGCAGAGCACCCGTAGTAGCGGCTGACTAGTAGTAGTAGTCACCACTTTATTTGGTGTGTGTGTAGGGCCTAAACCTAAAGGGCTTTTATAATTTCATATTTCAAAACAAAGTTATTGTACAGTAATTAAAAGTGAATTTCAATGTGTTTTCAGTTTTTATTATTTAGTTAATTGGAATTACAGTTGATTCCCAGCAAACCATAGTTAAAACCATTAATTTAGTTAACAGAATACCCGATCCTAAGCTAAACGCAGTACACGACTGTCCATATATTGTTGAGTATATTATTTTATGCATAACTTATAAATTGAATTGCTTTGTCAAGTACTTTATTTATACAATAAGTTTTGAGATAATCTATTTGTTAAACAAATATATTTACAAATATATCTCAATAATGTTTAGCCGTAATAAGTAGGGCGACGCCCGACCAGCCGACAAACGGGTGCGACCGCTGACCCGTACCCCACACGTCGTTATACTGTTCCCATACAAAGCCAGTCCTCTCGTACTCTTTAAACATGTTTGCGATTACTATTACGATTATGTATATTGTTTCGCAACTCTTTGTACTTTTGTAGATATTTTTGTGACAAACAAAATTTTAGACTAAATTATTTTAATTTATTCAAGCAAAAAAATGAGATAATTTTAATTAAAATGTTTAATTAAATAATAGTTGCATTACAACACAAATTAGTTTTAAAATAATACAAACAATAAAATCAATTTACATTTTTAGTGCACATTTTTAAAAATTTAAAATCACAGAAAGTTGTTTATCACTAGTAATCGCAAAAACAAAATCAAACAAAAGCTGAAACTTTGTTTAAAAGACAACAAATCACAAGACATGGCCAATCGATACCAACCATACGATCCCAATTGGAGGCGGGGTCAGCGCGAAGATCCCAACTCTGTGTGGTGTAGAGGTCGGCGCAGAGGCAGAGGTAGGGGTGGCGGTGGAGGTGGCGGTGGAGGTGGCGGTGGAGGTGGAGGTGGTGGTGCAGTTGGACCGCCTGCTATACCGCCAATGGCTCAACTGCTGAACGCCTATCTGCCGGCACTTAGGCAACAGGCGTTGGCCGCCATTGGAGGAAACATTGGAGTGTTTCGGGAAGAGATCTATGAAATGCTAGTGCCTATCATCGAACAGAGAGGTGTGATTCCCGAAGGGGTGTTCCCACTGCCACCTAATCCGTGGCCACCGGCGGGCGAACCTCCCTTTCAGATCCATGTCATCCCGGGTGTCGTGCATAACGACCCGATTCTCGTGGCTCAAGAGTTGATGAATACGCCGCACATACGCCGGGACATCATATGCCTGATTGGAGATGTGGCCGATATGGCCGCCGAGCACCCACTCGGCAACATTCACATCCAATTCACTCCACTCGATCAGGCGATGCACGACCAGTGCTACACCATTGCCGGTCGGACCTATCTCCTGGATTTGGCCAATCAGGTAACCTTGGATTTACTCGTACCCTGGCTCAGATATCATTGGCGCTCAGAGCACCCGTAGTAACGGTTGACTAGTAGTAGTGGTCACCACCTTATTTAGGTAACTGTGTGTGGCCTAAACCCAAAGCGTTTTTATAGTTTCATATCTCAACTCAAAGTTATCATCATTAAAAGTGTTTTTCAATGTGTTTTGAGTTTTAATTATTATAGTTTTGGTCATTCAGTTGATTCCCAGCAAACCATAGATAAGACCATTAATTTAGTTAACAGATTATCCGATCATAAGCTAAACGCAGTACACGACTGTCCTATATATTGCTGAATATATTATTTTATGCATAACTTATAAATTAAATTGTTTTGTAAAGTATTTTATTTATACAATAAGTTTTGAGATAACGTGTTTGTTATACAAATATAGTCACAAATACATCTCAATAATGTTCAGCCATAATAAGTAGGGCGACGCCCGACCAGCCGACAAACGGGTGCGACCGCTGACCCGTACCCCACTTGTCGTTATACTGTTCCCATACAAAGCCAGTTCTCTCGTACTCTTTAAACATGTTTGCAATGATATTGTTTCGCAACTCTTTGTATATGAGGGCCGCCTTTGACTGATTAGGACCGGGAGTCTGGGCGTAATGGCGTAGACCGCGGAGGGCCAGGTAGTTGATGTTGAGCCATATCGGTCCCCTCCAGTACGGCTCTTCCCACTCGCTGTTAAACTTGTTGTAATAGAAACCGGTCTTAGATATGGACCGCAAGCCATACGGAGTCCACATTTGGGACGAGTTGCGCATCGAGTCTAAGACGTGACCCAATTTGTCGCTGTTTGGGTCAACGATGGCGAACAGCACCGGGAATAGGTTAACGTAACCCAATTGGTCGCAAGTGTGCCGATACACCGGCGGTGACCACACTTTACGCACGTAATGTCCGCCGCCATCGCTAACCAGCGATACATTCGTCGAGTGTAAACCGTAATCGCAAAACGATTTGTCCGCTTCGGACCAGTGCTGGGACTCCAGTAGACGGTTGTCGGCCAACAGACGTGCCGTCTCGGCGTACGACAACTTCATGGCCTGATCAGCGACGGCGTCGGCCACTCTGGTCATGATGTCGGCGGCCAACCATATCCAACACCTGAGGTCTAAGTGATACTCGGAGTCTGTCGGATGAGTGGCGCGGGGAAAGTCGTCCAAACCGGACGTCAAAGTGTCGGGATTGAGGACATGATTGCCCCCATCCGGGCTCCGACCGCGCCATCGGTAAGTGCCCACCCGTTCGCCCACTTGAGTGGTGTTATACCACGCGAACCACGCCTTCAGTCGCGGGTATATAGTCTTCAACACCTGTGCATCCATTTGTTTGTTTCGCATCAACGTATCGATGGTCAACAAAAACGACGGCGGGTTTGCGTTGACGTCCGTCTGTGTCATCACTGTTCCCTCGCGTCGGATCTCTTCCCTCTCGATGACAATCTCTCGCGGTATCCATCCGTCGATATTCATCAGATTCAGCCACGACTGCATGATGTGAAGTGTCACCGAACGGTTCCAGCGCTGAATCACCAGATTGTGAAAGCCCTCGTCCCACAGGAACGGGTGGGGAAACACCGGTCGCGACGGGACGGCCGATAGCATTGTCAGCGGTCCGTACGACACGGGCGCCGACATACCCGGCGAGTCGACCGACAGATTGCCCGAGAAGTAGCCAATACTGCCCAACATTTCGCTCAGTATCGACTGTCCGAACGCAATCTCTTTGGCATTGAATCCCTTGCCTTTAAGACCAAATTTTGCCTCAAATTCTACCTCAAAGTCACTGATTTTGTGCCGAAGATCTTCTTCGTAGTCATTAGATTTGGCGGACATTTTGTTTGCCGGTTTATTGTTTGCGTTGAAAGCAATGGTGAGTTTTGTTTGCCGTCTAACCACCGCTTGAAAGCCAATAATACGCGTGACGTTTGGTTTTGTGCCGCTTTTCAGACCGTAAATGTGTGTCCCGTTTACAGTAATTGGTGTTAAGTTGTCTTTAATCGCTTTAATGACGTCCACTGTATGCGAATCGGTGTCCAATTGTCCGCTGTATAGAAGCGGTTCCACTTCTTCGGCGATAATGTTTAACGAGTAATCGCCGATAAACTCGTTGTGACCACTGATTTGCAATGAACTTGAATTGTGGCCACTAATCCGTATTGAATCCGTGTCCCTCTCGATGGACAGGTATATGATAAGCGATATACTTGAGTCATCCCTCACAGCGCCGGCAGTTGTCTCATTCACGGCAACCATTGCCCGCCAATTGGTTTGCGTGTATTTAACAAAACTAGTGTCTAATGAATAGCTATAGTCTTGTATGGTTTGAAAGCCAAAGTCATTGAAATTGTGATATTTCCAGCCGTATATGGTTTGGTCGTCGAGAGAGCACCAGTGCCTCAGCTGTAGGGCCGACACATCGGCGCCGCTGTTGTTGAACCAAATGAGTCCGACGGCGGGCGAGTCGGGGGACGCCGTCCGGAGTCCGAAGTACTGAAGCGCGCGGAATGTGCCCCAAGTGTTGTACGGGAGTATCGGTTCGGTGTGAAAGTGATGGTCAAACGGTATGTTCACATCTGTTGAGTTGCCATTTATTGTGGTTATTATTGTAATACTGCTGATGATCAGGGTACAAATAATACCCCTAGTGTTTGTTATTAAACACATGGTAGTAAACTATCACAAAAATTTAATGAAGTTTACTAAAAATGGTTGAATTTTTTATGATGTTTTAAAATAATACTAGTTAGAGTTAGAATGAGCTTGCAATTTATATACAGTTTTGTTTAGTACAATGAGATAACTTAACCACAGTATATAAAAATGTATAGTTAAAATAAACTCAATTATCGTTAAAAATATTTTATATCTATACTTAAATGTGATTAACTTATGCTTTAACTTATGATAAAGTGTTTGCTTAATACTGTATCGATATAAGCAGAGAGGTTTTAGACGCAATTTGCATAATATAAAGTTAGATTTACGAGTTATAATTTTTAAGTTATAATTTGTTTGTTAGTTAAAACTATTAATTAAAATTAGTTTTAAAATGTGTAAGTTTAAATATATCACTCATCCGGTTCATATGGAATTTTTGACAATTGCTGCAATTGTTTATAATTATTTAAATCACAGCTGGTGGAAATTTTATTATATTCACTTACCCTGATCATTTAGTAGCAAAATACATGTTTTGTTTGTGTTTAAAGCATTTAATCTAATCTCAAAGTCAATGACAAATTGATATCACTTGAAACCTTAAATTAGATTATAATGGGATTAATACTCTATACATAACATTTATAACACAACTTTTACATTATTTTTGATGACATTAGTTGTAAGTTATAACAAGTTATAACACTATATTTTAAAAATAATTAATTGCACTTATATTAAATATGGTTATATTGTAATAATTTTAATAATTATTCTCATTAAATTAAAAATATATGCTTAATAGTTAAAATGATTGCTTAGAAATAGAAAATGACTTACCTTAATTAATTTAAATATATTTAACAAACATGAATTTAATAAATTGTATAAAAACCATAAATCGTGTTTATTTTGATTATTACTAAGAATATTAGTCTAAATACAACATTTTATCAAGTATTTAATAAAACTCCAAATAATAATAATTCAATACATAATACAAAAGCACTAATTAATGTTAATTACAATAAATAAAACTCAAACTTCTTTTGAATTTGATCGGAGCTGAAGATACACTTTCTTAGGACAATGGTTGACATCACCAGCACTACTACGAGCGCTGCCATCGTTGGACTCATCCGATTGTTGCCCACCAGTGCCCACCTGATTGCCGGTCACAGCGGCTACCTCTCCCGGCTCAGGCTCCTGGAGCTGCTCGGGTTGGTGTTGTTGTTGCTGTTGTTGGCACTTGTGTTGGTTGTATTCGTGAATCTTAAGGTTGCGGAGATCGACAAAAGTGTCGCCACAATAGGCGCACTCGTAAGTACGCCGACGGTCTTTGGGCGCGTGTTTGGCCGACTCGTGCGAGTAGAGGCCGCTCAGCTGTTTGTAACGTTTGCCGCAGTGCTGGCACTCGAACCGCCGGTCCTCCGAGTGGGCCAACCGGTGATTCTCCAGTGCGCTCCGGAAACGGAAACTCTTGCCGCAGCCCTCGTAATCGCAATCGTGCGACCGTTGCTTAGCATCTGGTGTTGCCGTGCGTTTGACGGGCGCTGACTTTTGGGGTGCCTGTGGTTGTGGTGGTGTCGGTGACAATGATAATTGTCTTGAGGCGGTTGTGTCCGCGTAACGTATGGCCGTTGGCCGCACTACCGTTGCGGTTGGTGTCGGTCCGGTGTTCACTAATATATTGCCGCTTAAGTGGTTGGTTAGTGTGGATGTGCTGATCAGCAACTGTTGGCCATTAGGCACCCAATGGCTATAATTTGGTGAATAGTTGATACCGTGTATGGATAGGGCCGATGGCATGAGTGGTGGACCGGCCATAGAGTTGTTGTCACTGAAAGGCGATTGATTTTGACGGCCGTTGGACTGGAAATCAAACGGACGCCAAATGTTTGCGTTACTACTGTTTGGCCTATTATTGGCCGAAATGTGGTTCGCATTCAAATCCATACAATCGGTATTCAATTGATTGTTATCACGACTACTGTTGTTGTGATGAATGGATTCGTGAATCACTTCCACGCTATCATCGCTAATATCATCATAAACTGGTCCAACAGTTGGTTCGCTGCCACCGCTGTTATCATCCATAGAGTTGTGGCCATTGAAGCGACTCTTGTGCCACTTCTTCGACATCTTCTTCGTTGCCTTCTGGTCACCACTTATTCCTCTTCTTGTCTTCAAAAAGTGTTTACTCTTCAATAAATGGATCTCTTTTTTCAATGAACTAATTCTGGCCTCAAATGCGAGCCTTTGTTTCATGTGTTTGAGGCGAAGGCAAGTGTTTTGAGATTTGAGCCACTTTTGTGTCCGATGGCAGTGACTGTGGGCTCGGATTAGACGGCGACTGTCGCTAATCCATAGGCTCCTGATTCTGGTAATCACTCTCTCAAACAACACCCTCTCATCCGCTAGACGTGTCAATAGGGCTGAGAGGCAGCGACTGTGTGCCGGCACTACTGGCTCTTGACCCACAATATTGTCACCACTTTTACCACGATTTTCACCGCCAGTGTTGCCATAATCCACGTCCTTCTCTGAACTCAACCATCTATTGTGAGACACTTTTCTCGTATAGAATGACTGTTCAAATACTTTATTAAAAACATGGTATTTGTTTGAGAAATTCATATTTTATTGGCGATTGTTTTAATGCAAAAACAAGTGTTGATTGAAATGATGTGCTTTTGTTTTTGGGTAAAAGTTGCTGTAAAATGTCTCATTATATTTGATAATAAACAAGTTTTCTATCAGTCATTGGATTGAATTAATCATTTAATCCGGTGTTAAATGAAATTTTTTGTTTGTGATCTCAGGTCCTGAATGTTTTAATCCGTTTGAAAACTTACATACATTTGTCATATGAAAACAATACACTGTTTCTGGCGATTAAAACTAGTTTTTCAATATAAATGTTAAATCCGTTTTCCAACAAAAATGTATTAATCTTATTGTGATTGAGATTAACATTTCTAACATGTTTTATGTAAATAATTTTGCAAATATTTTGTGCGATTAGTTTGTAATTTAGTTTAAGGCATTTAATCTTATGCTTGCTTTTGTATACCATATCATATGATAATTAGTGGTTTATTTTTATCATAATATTATTTATAAAAATAAGTATTTTTAGTGGAAATTAATTTTATTTAAAAATTATGTGTTGAAAATAAATGTCAGTGCATTGCATGTTAAATATATGTTAACTTTGCTAGTTTTACAAAAGACTGACAAACAATACTAGGATTTATTGATACTAATTAAAACACGGAATATTTTATTATGTCATACAAAAATTGTATATTTACACGCAATTTTATATTTTAAAACATTACATTTAAAGTAAATGCAAAAACACAAATATTTTTTATGCAATTATTAATACACTTTACATTACAGTCTGTAATGTATTAATATATTCGCACTTCAAGTCTAAAACATAATTAAAAAATAATTAAAAATATTGCACAAATAATTTGCTTGCACAATAAATTGCATACTACTTTTAATGTTATAAATTATAACTTATAATAACTTGTTATTATCTAAAGATAACAAGAAATACTGTAGTGTTAGACATGATATCAAATGCACAATAAATTAATATATTGTTTTTAATTGTTTTTGAAATCAATAGTTATATAAAGATATATAAATTACACCATTATTTCATATAATTTATGTTAAATAACATTTTATTAATGTAATTTATTTTACTATTATTAACATTTTACGTATTGCACTAAATTAATGTTCATGTGCACAAAACCAATAGTAATCATTTATATTTGAGAATATATTTTTATTCAAACTTTTAGTTTATCATAAAAATGTTTGCTCTACTTATATTTTCAAATATCTTATATTACTTTATGATATTTAAAACAAATGAAACTTATTTTCAAATCAATTGTTTAGTTTACTAGTTATAAAATCATAATGATTGGGGATACTACTTCAAGCATGATCAAAATGAACAAATTATTACCACAATCAATCACTATTGGCAAAGCGGGCACTCATTTCTATAGTATTGGTCTCTCGTTGTATAAGCCATTAGTGGATACAAAACGAAATGCGTTAAAACATCCGCTATTAGTGTTCACAACATTTATTTTATGGACATTAAGGCAAATAATATTGGTTTTAATTCAGCAAAAAAGTTATACATTTTACGCAATTGTCGGCGATTGGTATTATTTCCTGGCCACTGGGCTCCGTATACAATGTAGCTTGGTCAGTATTATTGTTATGCTCATACCAATAATGTGCCAGATGATTCATTTTATGAATT